CATGTCTATATAAAATGATCAAAGACAATATAATAGTTCTTACTTTTTTTTATTATTAGAAAAAACATCAACCAACATCATAAACATATTAACTTAAGTCGTAGGTAATAACATATGGTCTCCAGATAGTCAACTATGTTCTTAAATAGTTAACTATGCAACTTTATATAAAACATAATAGTTAACTATGTTTTGAAAGTTAAATATGCTAATAACAATGTTATTAGAATAATTAATTATGTTCATATATAGTTAACTAAACAATTTTTACTATAAAAATCTAGACAAAAGTAATTCATCATGACCTAAATAGATAAAATTATACTAAAAAGTTGACTATACTACAAAAATATATAAATAATTGACTATATTGAAAATAGTTGTATACATATTTCCAACATTACAAATATACCAACTATTTTTCGAAAGTATAATTAACTATTAAGAACATTACAATTTAGTTTACTATTTTTAGAACAAGTGCATATAATAATTTACTATTAATAGTTGACTATACTACAAATATTAGAAATAAAATATGTGTGTATACATAGTTCGAAAAATACCTAATATACCAATTATTTCTCAGATATTTAGTTAACTAATAAGAACATTACAATTTAGCTTATTATTCCCCGAACATATAATAATTCACTATTTCTAATTTTTGTAGTTAACTATGTTTAGAAGTATGCTTAAAAGTTTCACGAAGTATAGTCAACTATTAAAAATATGTAGAACAACCGTGGGATAAATATATAGAAGGAGTACAATATTATTTTTAGATAAAAYAAATTCACAAAATTCTAATACAATATACAATCAAACAAATATTTATTTTCTCTTTACATAATGTCAAAAAAATTTTAGGAAAGTATGTTTATGTGGAAAGAGAAAAGTTAATAATTCAAAGGTAAATTAGTCAATTTTTTTTTCTCTTTACTATATACCTAAATTTAATTTGGGACAATTACAAAAATACAACTTTTTGTGTGTACATTTGCAAAAATGTCATTTAGAAGTGTTCATTTACAAAAATGTCACTAATTATAGATTTATAAAGCCTATATCTTAGAATTCCAAACCCTAAAAAATATTTTGACATTTAAAACTCC